GCTCCCACTCCCACTGCTTTTTTGCCCTTGGTCATTCTGTTTCTCTGTTTAGGTAAGGAAACAATGGGTCACAGGTTGTCTAGTAAATTATAAAACCAGGCATTTCCAGACTGCCACCTCTAACTTTGATATGTGTCAGGAACATTGTTTGCTCAGATGGGTAAAATGTTTTAAATTTTCACTTGTGGTAGTTTGTTAATTCCAATATGGTCCCCAGCTGGCTGGTTCAGAGATTAGGTGTGGAGATAGTTCACTGTGGAGAAATTTAGTTATAACTGAAGGTGCTTCTACATTCTCTATTCCAGTTTACCTTGGATGTTTTGAGGATTGTCAATTATGAAGTTTCCATTCCACACAACAGAAAGGTTCACTGGGAGGTCACTGATGTCATTCCCTTCATAGAAATACTGCCAAAGAAGACACAACAGAGCAGAGAGTCTATTAGACAACCTTAGACAAAAATAACAGATGCAAACCAAGAGCCAAATGAAAGGCTAGTGGGGGACATCACATTGTTCTCACTAATTTCAAGTGCACCTACCTTGCTCTTCCTCTGCCAGTGATGACCATGTCAAAAGCAAGACAGATTGGTCAGACATAAAGCCACCCCAATACAACCCAGGGACAACAACACAATTTTCTTTATTTTTTTTCCAGCTGCTTCTTAGAATTCTGCCAGACAGAATGCACTTTGGGGAAAAATAACGGGACTTGTCCAAAGCACCCCAATTACTGTTCATATTAATTTTTTCTTTGTCTAGGCAATGTTGAGACAGTTTGACTCTGGATTTGTAGCATTCTTTACCAGCCCTACCAATAGAGAATGATTGGTGGGAACTGAGAAAATCTCATTAGCTGTCAAATCATGAGCATAATTTATTTGGGCTGTTGAGGCCAATGTTCTTCAGCACAAAAATTGCATAACCTAATAATATGGGTTCATTTTTAAAATACAATCCCAGAGTACACAAAGCCTGAAACTAAGTGATTTTCAGAGCTATTCAAGTAATACACAATCTGTAAAAGGGTATTGTTACTGTATAAATTAATAAAAAGTACAAATTGAAGTTATTTTATGCTAATCACCATTCAGCATTCAGGAATGCTGTGCACCTGTTCCTGAAAATAAGACAACGGAGCAGGGAGCGTTTGTCTGAATAAATATTTAAATTGAGGAAGAGTGGAATCTAAAACCTCCCAGCAACTGGAGCCATTACTTTTGTCTTTGTTGGGCTGGCAAATACTGTTCTGCTTCTCCTACAGCAGGAAAGAAAATATAGGAAATGAAAATGCAACAGACTTAAGGAAGACTATCTCTCTAAGAAGGATGATTACAGAGGCACATAAATTGGGAATTGTATTTCCATCCCACATCACCACGAGCCTTCATCCCATCTATCTCAGTGAAAAATAAGCCCAACCCAATCTCTTGCTTCAGCCAAACTTCTCACAGCCTCATCAATATTCCCTCCACAGTGCCTGCGTGCATGCGGAGGCTTAATCGATATGAAGACAGGAAGGCAGTCGGAACCTTCCCTGACAGCTAATGACCTCCTTTGGCGAGAGATTCTCTGCTTTTCTCCGGAGAAAATGACAGGCGTGTCAGGAGAGATTAAATGAAAGATTCATGGCTTGCTGGAGTTTGTTAGAGAACTATGGATACTACAGGGGCAGCTCTCCCCATGCTCTGGAAACACCCCCTCCCTGCTCAGCCACAGCACTATATTAGCCATCAAGGCTTAAGACAGCCAGAAAGACGAAGAAGGCAACAAGTGCCTTCCCCAACACATATCCAGAAAAGTCTCCCTTTTCTCTCCCTTCTCCTCTTCAACTTCCCTGAAAATCCAATTTGTCTTAATTTGTATTAAAAAAGAAATAGCTATACAGCACACAGAATACAAGTGAACTGTCATGAATATAGAATGAGAAACAAAACACACAGCAGAAACACCGAGTTCCTGAGAGCTGTGTCAAATAACATGCCCAATCATTCTTTTGCGTAGCAAGCCAGAAACCACACAGAATCACAGTATAAGATAGATACTACAGAAATAAAGGTCAGAAACCTTATCTATACAGCACTGGTCAGCCACATAGCATCCATAGGCATAGGGCACACATCTGCACACTAGAATAATGGCCACACTCTATATACAGATAGTCCTCGGCTTACGACAGCAATTGGGACTGGGATTGCTGTCGCCAAGTGACACAGGCGTAAAGTGTGATGTCACGTGATGGCGTTGCTTAGTGATGGCAATTCTGTCAGTCTTAGCTGGTGTTGTTAAGCAAGGACTGTGCGGGTTGTTAAGCAAGGACCTCATACGATCATGACTTGCAACTTCCTGCCGGCTTCCCCACTTACTTTGCTTGTGGGAAGCTGGCAGGAAACATCAGAAATTGTGATCATGTGACTGTGGTTCTCTGTGACGTCATAATTGTGAGCCAAGCACCAAGGGCCTGGATTGCAATCATATGACTGTGGGGATGCTGCGATGACTAGAACTTTGAGGACCTGTTGTAAGTCCCCCTCATTCAGCACCATTGCAAATTTGAACAGTCGCCGAACGAATGGTTATAACCCAAGAACTACCTGTAGAGATTTTGGCCTTCTGAAAAATGGGCTAAAACTGCTGAAATTTCAGAAGATCTTGGCAATTTGTAAGATATTTGTCTATCGTATGAGATTCTGCAATGGCACCTTGGCCTGAAAAATTTATCAACCCCTGATCTATGGCATTAGTGATATAAAATATTCTTTAATTAAATTCAGCTGTTTAAGACCTGCTTTACCTATTTAGATTCTCCAGATATATATGTCCTGAGTCATTGTATAATATATCTGAAGAGCACCAATTTGAGGAATGCTGACCTAAAGTGAAAATATGATATTAAATGGTGTAAACAATCAAGGCATTTCAACTAAATGTCCCATTTGGGGGTTGATGTATTTATCTGTAGTGTTATTATATTTTCATGGAGAACATCTACAGTATGTGGTTGCCAAGAGTCAACAACTTGATGGTACAATCAATCAATCAATCAATCAATCAATTTATTTCTCTTCAATAAATGCCTTTCCTAGAATAATCCTTCAGCCAGCATGGTATTGAGCAAGTTAACTGCTGAAGGTAGGAATTGTAATCTGGACAACATCAACTTGGAGAAGGCTGGTCTATAAGTCCAAATATCTGCCCTGAACAGTAGAGCAGAGAACTCTAAATGCAGATTGTATAATCAAAAGTTCAGAGAATTGAAGTGCGGCTAATATAAGCTCACATCAATAATATGTTTATGCAATACAATACATAAACTACATAAAGGTCACTAGGGACTTGAAAATAATTGATGTTTGCATAATGTGGTATTGTGTAAGTGTGTGTGATTGCGTTTGTGTATGTTCATGTCCCATTCTTTTCTAGTTGAGTCAAACTAATTGGAAACACACTGAAGACGCTGTCTATAGGAATAACTCAAAAAAGGTCAGGTATATTTACATAAAGGAAAAGCACCCATCATTTGGAAAGAGAAAAGTGTTTTGGGAGGGTGGCAGAGAAGGATTTAGCTGTGACGAGCAGCGTGGCAGAATAAGTGAAATTGGCATTTTCAATTTGTACTCTGACATGTCTCATTTGGGGCCTTGGCATCTCAGAACAGCATACAGCCTGCAGCTGTCCGAAACACTTATTTGCATTTCTCTTCCCTGGATCCTTTCAGAAATGAATTCCTTTTGAATAAGGGACAAAGTGGGAACTGGCAGATTATTAACTCTTTAGATACCTGCTCTGACAAAAATAGTTTACACAAAAGAGACAGATATGTGCATTTTTGTTTCAGATAACATGA